ATTTACATGTTATGACTTAAAAATTTGCATGTAATGCCTTTTTTCCTGATTGTTTTACGATCGCGTCATTTGCTATGTTCACGTATTAAACTGAGACGATGCGCATCAAAGTTTTAGTGGAAAAAAGAGTTTCAAACAGTCCTCATCTCTGTCGCACAGCAGCATTGTCGCACACCTGTAAAACACAGCTCAGTTGTTCAGCGCGAGAGAGATCGAAATGACGGAGACGTGCAAGTAAAAGTGTGGAAAAGCAGAGTCTATTTCGTGCACAACTTGAACAAACGGGTAAAGCTGTCAACTGTGTGGATATTGGCAATATCGTTAACAATTCTCGTTTATAATCATTACTAATATGGCTTCTTCTTATCAAGATCTTAGTCTATATGCTGTTCGGTTAATGCGTGAACTTCATATTATTTGAAGCACACTTGCTGTCCATTAACCGCAAAATGCTTTGTTACTTTTTAATGAACAAAGTATCAGCTTTAAAATTATGGCAAATTCAAACAATAAATAGTTTTAGCACTTTTTCTGCAGCAGGCGCAGTCACCTCAGTTCAAGCGACAAAGTGAACCATTTATATCTTTCTCTTTACTACTGTAGTACATAATGAACATGAATTAACATCAAAACGTAGCCTATTTTATAAGAAAGCCTACAGTACAACTTACTGAAATGTCTCATGTAAAAGCTCATTCAGTGTTTCAAACTGCGTAAAACGTGTAAAGCTTGTAAACATTGCAACATAATATACATTTACCACAGAATAACCATTCAGTGTCCATAATCTCATCAGTCAGCTAGAAAAATAGCTATAAAGAAGAGCATTTTGCTATATTTATGCGCTATTGGATGTTAATATTTTACTTAACCTCTAGACTACATGATTCAACGTCTCCTGTACAAAATTGCATTTTACTAATGAAGAAAAACAGACTGAATGTGTGAAAGACACATGACAACACTTACAGGATGCACTGAGGAGGAGCCCAAACTACACTCAGTGGCCAAGTGATGCTTATGGTCCATGATATTTCTACAGATTCTGTGTCATGAACAATTCTTTGTGACTATATATTTCAAGTTGGAAAAGACGTTTAATTCCCACTTTAAGTGAACCTTAGTTCCCAGGTCATCTACAAGATTGATTAAAATGCTGATAAATTCAAGAAAAGATGAGACATAATCACATGAAAGTATGATTGAAATGTTAAAAAATTATAATAAAATAAACAAAACACGTTTATTCTGTGGCACCTAAAAAAATTATTTGGCACCAAAAATATTTTCTTATAGGAGCCAATTGTTTGGAGCCCTCTATCTATCTATCTATATCTATCTATCTATCTATCTATCTTTCATTCTATTGTTCTGTTGTTCTATCTATCTGTCTGTCTGTCTGTCTACCTATCCATCTATCTTTCATTCTATTGTTCTGTTGATCTGTCTGTCTGTCTGTCTATTAGCAGATTGTATTGCTGTTAATCATGAATCTGTATACTCTCATCACTGAAGAACTATTGTAGCCGACTGAACGACTGAGGGAGCGGGGCTACTATTTCTCTCTCTCTCTCTCTCTCTCTCTCTCTCTCTCTCTCTCTCTCTCTCTGTGACATCCCCCTTTGCTCGTTCTCTCCTCCTGCTCTTTTCTCCTCCTCTGTTCTTGGCTTTCTGCCCGCTCCACTGCAGTTCCTCCTTCGGGAGCAGCAGACAAAGTCACCAGGCTCTAGGAACAGACCTTTCAAATTCATAAAATTCATAGGATTTTTCACAAATGGGTGAACACAATTTTCTACCAATTTCCTCATTATGCAAATATGCAAAATATCGCATTTAGGCCAATTACGGTCCCACACTGTTCCAAATCCACCAGTTTAGGCCATAATTGCAGAAACTATCAAATAATTACGCTCGCTAATTGGGAATATTTGTGACAGATAAAACAAATTCTCGCACAAATTACATTTCATTCAAGGAACCACTGTGCGCCGCTGCATTTTTATCGAAGTCTAATTTATCTTACATAATGAACTGAACTGAGTACTTGTTATCGAATTTGAACAGTTCATATGTCCCTAATGTGGAATGATGAAATAAATTAGAGCGAAATTTATACAATATTTTCCTGATCTAGGCCTACTTCGAGAGGCTCCCGCCGTTCAGAGGAAATCTTTTATTGCTATTACATTATGTGTCATGAATTGCAGCTCTAACTGTCGTGAAATCTGATGGAAGCTGATGGGATGTGTTTCCCTCTTTAGAGAGGCTCATCACAGCTCCCACAGCAGAGGCCGTGCTGACATTTACTGTGAATGCCAATGAAACAAGTAAAACATATAGACTGTCCTCCTAAATCCAGACAAAATATTGGTTTTTGGATATTATTATTATTATAATTATAAAACACATAGCCTATTCTCCTAAAGTGAAGCCAAAAAAAAAAGTTGGTCAAATGTATATTTTTACATTTTGATAATAGTCAATATATTACTAACATATTGCATATATTTATGTCATTATTATAATTATTATAAAATGCATAGTGTATTCTCCTGAGTGCAGCAAAAAAAGTTTTTAGGCATATTTATATTTTTTACATCATGATAGTGGTTGCATAGTAACATAATATTTGTTGGTGTTGTTGTGGTTGCAAAAATATTTGTATAGTATGTTGTTCATACAATAAGAATATGATGATGATGATGATTATAAAAAGCATAACCTATTATAAGTTTATAATTTGAACAAAAATATTAATTTAGTATGTCATTAACATACCAATAGGAAGAATATGTTATTATAATAAGTTAATAACATTAATATATTGTTGTTTAAAAAACAGCCTATTTTTCTAAACTGCAGAGAACAAAAAGGTTTTAAGGAATAATTATATTTTTTTAATCATGGTTGATGCATAGGTAACTACAGTAATTAATAAATTCTACAGAAATATTCATATAATAAGAATAATATGAAAATTATTATTATTATTATTCAAAACAATAAAAAATTTAATCAAATTAAAAATAAAGGCCTATGCATAAATAGTGTATTAACCTTTTTTACAAAAATATTCATATAGTAAGAATATGATGATTATGATTTAATAAAAGGGACTAAAATACTACTGGTTTGCTCTAAATCTCAGTGTCTTCATGTTACCTAAAGGCCAGGAAGGTCATCTGTGGAAAAGGCTGTTTATCTTGCTCACCTGTTCTAGGTCTATGTGTGTGTGATTTGTTTAATCCGTGGAAATGGTGTTGGCGCTGTAAACAAGCCGTGCGCGGAATGAAGGCGGCCATCCACGCGTGGCAACGCTGCCTATTTGTCAAAAAATCTTCCATAAATAAATACTGGGCCGGGCTGGGATAGGTGATGTCTCCATTTTAAACAGGGGCTTAAACTCGGAGGGCACATGAAAGACCATCATTCAGAGGTGACTGTTTAACTCCATAAATCACGCTGATGAGGTCTGGGAACATGTATGACACCGTTTCCTTTCACACAGAATCTCTTCATTTATTAAAAACAGTGCAGTGAATTTAGAGCCAGAATATATATAATTAAGAAACAATTAATGCCACACAACGTTTTTTCTTTGTCATTTTTACAAGGGAATGCAGGGAGATAGGGAGGTTCTCAGATATGTCTATGTTTAATTCAATGCCACGGTCGCTAAGTATTTTTTAATTGACAAATTAGCGAGTTCTAATATACTGGAATTTAATCCTAATTAGTTAAGCGGCTGCTCAAGGTTTGAACATTGCACCATTTATTAAGAGGTCAATTTATTATTTGTTAAGAAGGCTTTATGAAAAGAAAGGGCTATTTTTCAAATCGCTCCGCCCTTTAACCGTGTCGTGCTGTTTGCTGTAGTCATTATGACTTCACTTTGATTTCAATCCCACAATAATATGGTCACTAATGGCTCTGATATTGATGCTAATTGTAACAGTCAATATTGAGGCGCAGCGGGAAACCTCAGTCGGGTCAGGTCTGTGCTGCAATCCTACACACGCTGCTGATTTCTTTCTTTATTTGCATTTATTTTGTGCAGGTTTTAAATGCATGTTAATTGAGACAATTAAGTCTACATCTTTTATTTTTCCTTTTATACTTTTGAGAAAAACATCAACAGGCAGTTTAAACCAGTTGCAGCCAATTAACTCCAAAAATAATGCATTTATATTGCTAAATTAATACATTTCGAAAGCATACCTGCTTTAGCAGATCTTACAGGCCCTTTGCATTTATTTTTAAATTGAAGTAATTAAACATATAAGCTTGTTTTTTGTGGACTATACATGTCCAATTAAAACCTAAAATACTTTTTGTATTGTAACGTGACTTTGAGTTTGTAAAAAGGCACTATATAAAACAATTATTATTATTATTATTATTGCATTTTAGGTTTAAATTTAGCATCCCAAAACATTTGCACAAAGCAGGCTTATGTTTAATTTACTTACAATTAAAAATGTGACATTATTATTATTTAAGTAGATTTTTTTACATTTTATTAATTTATTGTCATTTTATGTTTATTATTTATTAAATGCTTTTTTTAATTGTAAACCGAGATTGAGTTTGGAGAAAGGCCTTATATAAACTAAACATTTATTATTGTTGTTATTATTATCATTAATAATAATAATATTATTATAGCATTTTAGGTTTTAATTTGGAGCTCTAAACATTTGTAGTCCATGAGGAGCAGGCTTAGGTCTTTAATTACAATTTACTTGCAACTATTATTATTATTTTACAATTGTATTCATTTGTTATTATTTAATTTTATATTTATTTATTTGTAAAATTCTATATTCTCCAAAGAAACGTAAAGCAACTTGAGAATGCTATACAGCAAAAAATTGGTTAAAGAAGCTTTTTTAAGTTTTAAGTGTAAGAGTGTAAAGCAAAAACATGCATATGTCTGATCATATTTTGTGTTTACAGCAGGTTATGTTTGGAGACACTCTCTCTCTCTCACACACATTTAGGGTACCAGTCCCTGGGTCCCCGTCCCCCATCCGTACACAACGTCCTTCGGCTCTCGCAGGCGCATCATGTGCCGCCGGAGCGGACAGATGAAGAAGAGGATATTAAGTGACTCTATCTAACATCCAGGACACAATGGCGGTGATTGATGGAGGACAAAGTGGGAACAGCAGGACAGAGGATGGGAGGGGGGCGTCCGTTGGGGGTCTCTGTCGAGAGCTGGTGCGCCGTCCCCGTCCGCCGTGTTTACTCACTGATGCTCTCGACAAGACAGCCATTGACACTGGGATGGATGAGTCCCGATCCACCGCGCGGAGCCAGAGGTTAGCAGGGCTGAAATATAGAGCTCCTCCACGACACGCTCCCTTCACCTAATCTTCCGGCAAAATATTTATCATTATCAATTGGGGCCTGCTCTCTGACATTAGAATAGCACGTATGGATAAACCCTCGGGAGGATTATCGATCCGCCCGGCAGCAGCTTACACAAGACTCGGGGTCATGCGGGACAATAAGAATAAAAGCATGGTATATCCAGCCCTCCGCTCAGGTTTATTAAGTAAAACAATGAACCAAATCACACCGGCATGACACAGACAACCCACTAAATCCCACATATGCTTCTGAAGGACCCCAGCGCTGCACATTTTGCTTATTTTCACACTGATTTACTGGTTAAAAGTTTTAAATAATTAATTTTTTTTAATAAAAGAAGACCAAGGGTGCGTAACACAGTAAAAACCGTAATATTGTGAAATTCAAAATTACGATTCAAAATAACTGTTTTCTATTTGAATATATTTTAAAATGCATATGGTAAAAAATGTATAGCCTGAATGCACTGTAAGTCGCTTTGGATAAAAGCGTCTGCTAAATGCATACATTTAAATTTTTATTTAATTTAATTTAAAATGTAATTTATTACTGTGACGCGAAGCTGAATTTTCAGCATCATTTCTCTTCAGTGTCACATGATGCTTCCGAAATCATTTTAATATGCTATGCATGCTAATATACTATATTCTAATTTGATTTGATGATCAAAGAAACATTTCTTATTATTATCAACAGTTGTGCTCAGTAAGATTAAAAAGATAATAATACTTTTATTCAACAAGTATGCATTAAATTGACAGTAAAGGTATTTATAATGTTATAAAAAATTATTTTTCAAGTAGTTCCTGTTCTTTTGAACTTTTATTCATCAAAGAATCCTGAAATAAACATGTATTATAATAAGAACCATTATTACTATAGAATAAATAATTGATAATAATTAAGCAGCAAATCAGCATATTAGAATGATTTCTGAAGATCATGTGACACTGAAGACTGGAGTAATGATGCTGAAAACTCAGCTTTGCATCACAGGAATAAATTAAATTTTTAAATGTTTTCCAAAAAAAAAAAGTTATTTAAATTGTAATAATATTTTACAATATTACTGTTTTTACCCTATTTTTGATAACGAAAAAGCTGGTCATGTAAAGGCTTCAAGACCTGAAGTGAGTGTGTCAGATGAGGGAGGCCCCAAAATGTGCAGCTCTGGGCTTTTCCAGGACCAGGATTGAGAGAAAACTAAATAAGGTTAGTGGAAGGTGTGTAAAACATTTGAAGAGCATATTTCATGTTTTCTCTTCCTGACTGAAACAGATGTAAAATCTAAATTCACATTGTGCACTGTGTATTTTTTCTCCTGTAGACTCGGTCTGGGTGGAATTGAGAAGATGGCAGGTCGATATTAGAAATGTCTGTTATGTATCTGTCATATTTCCAGCTTTATTCCTTCTGAAGTGGAGAGAGAGAGACGAAGAGAGTGAGAGCGCTCTGGATGAATGGCAGCAGGTGCCAGTGGCTTCTCGCCTCCCGAGCGCTAATTGACCGACAGCGTTCATACACACATTCTCACTAATTTTACATTTGCTATTCTAGAGGGTTAACCAGGCACGTCTCAAGGAATACATAGTATTTGCACTTACCGTGCAAGCCATCAATGATCTTTAAAAAAAGAGAAGGAAATTAGCAGCTTTGTTTGATAATAAGGCCTCGAAAATTCAGACGTTTTTGGAGCAATTTGTGCCACACACACACACACACATATCACAAAGAAAATTCCCTTGTCTGCTTTTTTTAGAATTTGTAAATGAAAAAATTGATGTTGATGTTTTCATGATTCAGAACTGAGGAGGATTATACCATTTTTTTCTTGCTATTGTGGTATAATATTCCCATATTGATTCAAATTAAAACAAATTAGTGTCAGGTACAAAGAGCATTGGGGTGGGCTGTAACACCAATTTAAACATTCATGTATTTAAACATTTTATTCTAATATGGTGATTAGCATTTCTTATTATTATCAGTGATGGAAACTGGTTTATTCAGAAAGATTTGTCTTTTTTTCAAGGACCTCTTACATTTATCATAAATGATAGTCAGTAATGTTACGAAACAATTACATTTCAAATAAATGTTGTCCTTTTGAATTTTCTATACATAAAACAATCCTGAAGTAAACATTTCAACATTGATAATCACAAAAGAGATCATAAGTATTAGAAAATTTTATATGTAAATTTGCATTAAAATAATTAACTTTATAGAATTAACATTACTTGTCCTGAATAATTCAGAATATTCCCCCTTCCACTTTTTATTTGAAATATTTTAATTCAGTTGGAAACAAATAATACATACATCTTCATTGTGGCTTACACCGTTGCATTTTTAAAAAAAGATTAGCAGCTTTGTTTGATAATAAGGCCTCGAAAATTGAGACGTTTTTGGAGCAATTTGTGCCACACACACACACACATATCACAAAGAAAATTCCCTTGTCTGCTTTTTTTAGAATTTGTAAATGAAAAAATTGATGTTGATGTTTTCATGATTCAGAACTGAGGAGGATTATACCATTTTTTTCTTGCTATTGTGGTATAATATTCCCATATTGATTCAAATTAAAACAAATTAGTGTCAGGTACAAAGAGCATTGGGGTGGGCTGTAACACCAATTTAAACATTCATGTATTTAAACATTTTATTCTAATATGGTGATTAGCATTTCTTATTATTATCAGTGATGGAAACTGGTTTATTCAGAAAGATTTGTCTTTTTTTCAAGGACCTCTTACATTTATCATAAATGATAGTCAGTAATGTTACGAAACAATTACATTTCAAATAAATGTTGTCCTTTTGAATTTTCTATACATAAAACAATCCTGAAGTAAACATTTCAACATTGATAATCACAAAAGAGATCATAAGTATTAGAAAATTTTATATGTAAATTTGCATTAAAATAATTAACTTTATAGAATTAACATTACTTGTCCTGAATAATTCAGAATATTCCCCCTTCCACTTTTTATTTGAAATATTTTAATTCAGTTGGAAACAAATAATACATACATCTTCATTGTGGCTTACACCGTTGCATTTTGGTCAGTTTTTATGGATCCAATAGAAAGCAGGAAAAAAAAGGCTGTGACAACCATCTGCTTAGTCTTGATATATCTATTCTTTCCCTTGTAGATGATATATAGTGATATTATATATCATATTAACCAAGAACCTGCTGATTCAAGAAAATACCAGTTCTATAACATGCATTAGCATTAAATCAAAGTATAAACTAGAGGTCACATTACTGTTTTTAATCTTGTAAATCCTTTATATTTTCCACACTGTAAAAAAAATTCTGTAGTTTTTACAAAATAATTTTGGCAGCTGTGGTTGCCAGAATAATTTTGTAAAAAATACAGAAAAACTAAACACATTTACGGCCAAAAACTGTAAATTTTACAGTATAAAACTGTAATTTACAAACAATGCACACTGCTATTAAAATTTGTTTTGTACCTTTAACATACTGACAACCACTATAATAATGCAGGTGGTAAAAGAGAAAGCCACATGAAGAATCAAAGCTCATCACAAGTAGCTTCGCCACAAGCAGAAGTGTATACTAATATATAGAAGGTGCACAGAGTCATTCATGCAAACACAAAACACCATCATGGTAACACACATGATACTTCAATAATGCATTCAACTTTCATTAAACAACAGAAGATGTAACATAAAGCCCAAATATACATAACTAAAACAAAAACTATTTAAAAAAACATGATTATTTAAACAAAATACTTTAAAATGTGGAGTGTCATGCAGGGAATTCTGGGAATATCAGTTTACAGTTTTTGACTGTAAATTATACATTGATTTGTTATTTTTAAAATTAACAGCATTTTACTGTAAAATTACATGAAATGTCTGGTTAGATATTTTACTGTTTTTCCCTGTATATAGTACGGGAACTTACTGTTAACCTATTAACAGTTTTTTCCCGTAGCGTTTTTACAAAATGTTACAGTTAAAATTACACTTATTTTTTACAGTGTACAAAATGGCCATGGAAATGCACATATCGGGATTTATAAAAAATAAACTAGGCATAAATATGTGCGCACCGTACGGACACTCTAGACCATGCGTACGCACTATTTTACTGGAGTGAGCGAAATAAGGATGCAAACAGAATGATTTTTAAGTCTGTTTTACATTTGACATATACATTTATAATAAGTATGACACTCTGAATAATGAAGTTAAGCACTGTGGTTGCCAGAATAATTTTGTAAAAAATACAGAAAAACTAAACACATTTACGGCCAAAAACTGTAAATTTTACAGTATAAAACTAATTTACAAACAATGCACACTGCTATTAAAATCTGTTTTGTACCTTTAACATACTGACAACCACTATAATAATGCAGGTGGTAAAAGAGAAAGCCACATGAAGAATCAAAGCTCATCACAAGTAGCTTCGCCACAAGCAGAAGTATATACTAATATATAGAAGGTGCACAGAGTCATTCATGCAAACACAAAACACCATCATGGTAACACACATGATACTTAAATAATGCATTCAACTTTCATTAAACAACAGAAGATGTAACATAAAGCCCAAATATACATAACTAAAACAAAAACTATTTAAAAAAACATGATTATTTAAACAAAATACTTTAAAATGTGGAGTGTCATGCAGGGAATTCTGGGAATATCAGTTTACAGTTTTTGACTGTAAATTATACATTGATTTGTTATTTTTAAAATTAACAGCATTTTACTGTAAAATTACATGAAATGTCTGGTTAGATATTTTACTGTTTTTCCCTGTATATAGTACGGGAACTTACTGTTAACCTATTAACAGTTTTTTCCCGTAGCGTTTTTACAAAATGTTACAGTTAAAATTACACTTATTTTTTTACAGTGCACACAGAAAGTTCTACTATCATGTATGATAGTTTACAACAGTCCCTGACATCTTTTGTAGTTCGCATTTGATCAATACTAAGGGAATTAAAGGATCAACACAGCAATGTTTTGACACAAATTCCCACGATGAGAGCTTTTGAGTTAAACAAACCTAAAATTCATGACAAAAGGAAAGAGAGAGAGCCTGCGGTGGTGTTCGGAAACAGATGCACATCGCTGCTTTGTTTTGTTTTGTGTGGGCTAATTCAGATCCGAACGCAGGGAAGAGCGAGTGCGTCAGTAAATGAATTAGCCACT